TAAATATTGACATCAAGCTTCTGACGTGCCATCCTCTCTTCTTATCCCAGTGCTTAGGTGGAAAGGTGGTGGTTCTTTACGGAAGACCAGGAGGGTAAAACCCTGCCAAACTTCAGGGGGAAGAGTGTTTCATAGGGCAGGGCGTGCAACGGAAAATGCTCACTTCTTAGCTTCTATCAGATGTCAATATTTAAGGCAAGAGACTACCTTATCTGACCTGATAGAACAGTAGATGCAAAAACAATAAAGATGGGACAATAATGACAGCTGTCTTGGTGGTGTGGTGATTAAAGTGCAGTGATAAGGCTAACTTTGCTCAGAGCCTGGAGTTCAATCCTGATGTGGCTCGAGGTTGACTCAGCCTTCCATCCTTCTGAGATCGGTAAAATGAGGACCCAGAATGTTGGGGAAATATGCTGACACTGTAAACTGAAAATGGTATAAGGCACTGTGGGGTGGTATATGATTCTTATTGCTATAATAAATGACCATATTGAAATCATGACTAAAATTTTCAATAGCACCTTAAAGAAATGAACCCAGTGCTGTTCGCATCACAAAGATGTCACATGGACAGCACAGTAATAGACAATCCATTACTGTATCCACTGCTGCGTTGTGAACCAATTGAAGTTTCTGGGTGGTCCAGTACAGTGATTCAAATAGGAGGTGACTAAGGCATGAGTGACCCATGTGCAAGGCCTCCCGGTCCACGAAAGGTCACAATTGGTGCAATAGATGAATCAGTGCAAAGCCCCTCATCCTGTCACAATCTCTAGCAGGAGACATGAGTCCAGGAGGACCTCCAGATTTTGCACCAGGTGAGTCACGAAAGGTAATCACGTATCCCCAAGACACTGCAACTATCATGAATATGAGTCAGTTGCAAAGCCTCTGAATTTTGATCATGTGACAATGGCGATGCTGTAATGGTTGTAAGTGTGAAAAATGGTCATGAGTCTCTTTTTCCCATACTGTTAAACTTCAAAGTGTCACTAAATGAAATGTTGTATATATAAGGACTAACTATATATAATTGGGCATCAAAGTATGGATGGCCTCCCCTAGTGATTTTATGTAGATGTTAAAAAGGAACTACAGAAGGCTTGATCCCCGGGGCACCCCAAATTGCAGGGGCCAAAAATCGCCCTCAGTTCTCCTACCCACACTGACTGCAACCGGGCATGGATGGAGAAGTAGAACCAAAGTAACAAAGTGCCTCCCATTCCCAGTCCTCAAAGCCTATCTCAACTTATGGCTGGCACCAAGTCCTCGATTTACAACCAGGCAGCTCGGTAACTGAAACACAGCTCCCATTGGCAGAGACATGCCGGCTGAAGTGGGACTTATGCTACACTCTGATTGGTTGTTCTGCTTAACAGCTTTAGTATAAATAGCTGTCAAGCAGAGTGTGGTGCTGAAGTTGTTCTCAGATACTTCTGTTGCTGTTAATGTTAATTAAAGGGTTTTGTTGTTACCTCAGTGTTGCCTCCATCCATCCTCGGCTAGTATTTAGCATCCAGGACTATGTGTACATAATTGGGTATCAGAATGGATAGCCTCCCCTAGTGATTTCATGTTTAGAAGGAGCAGCGAAAGGCTTGATTCCCCAGGGCACCCCAAATTCCAGGGGCCAAGAGACTGTCTCTCTTCTCCTACCCACACTATCCAGAAAGATATCATTGTTATTGATACCTGATGAGAGGTCTAGGAGGGACATAATAGTTGTAGCCCGTCTATCCCAAGCCCTCCAGAGGTATATGAGAATTGCAACCAATGGCATTTTGGTGATATGCCCCACCTTGAACCCAGACATAGAAGGGCCCAGGTGCCTTTCTCTTGCACAGCCTTTTGCGCGGGTGGCAAAGTCAGAGCTGCAAGCAGAGGGTGAGCTGAAGTCCCAGACTGCCAACCTTGCATGTGGGCCCCCCCCACCCATTCACATGGCTGGCAAGCCACTCCCACAAAGTAGGCCACACCTAC